TTGGTTGATTTCTGGCTGTTAGCTAGAAGTTTGTTGAATTTGACAATCTGCTTCTGTCGGGTTGACTGGAAAGTTTTTCCAGCTGTAGAGGTGTTGAAGGCCTGGCATTTCCAAAGATCAGCCGGTTAGCGAGAGCAACATATTTTTGTAGCACACAAAAACAAAGTCATACAATATTATTATTATCTTTATTAGTCTGACTAGTGAATTAACCAAATTTGACTTACCTCGGTAAATATGGCTTTGTTTTCGTGTGATATCGATATGGTATCAATATCAATAGTTGAAGTTCCCGGATGACTGGGCAATAGGAAAATAATATTGGTCGGTCATCCGGGTACTGCACTAAAGATATTGAATATACTGATCTATTGTACCACTTGGAAGCCTTATATAGATAATAATCGTGAATATCGTCTGCAAGCAGTATCATACAGTGCCGCCTCGAGCTCATGCCTCTGTGTGCGTGTTCATGCCAGGCCTGGCTTGTTTACGTAATTTTGTATCAATACGCATGCGCGAGTCTGTGAGATGGCCGTGTAAGTCGCGTTTCTCGTAGGATAGCTGCTTTCAATTTCTGTAAAACACCCATTCATTTTCCATTGTAGCTCCGAAAGTAAGTCATGAGCACAGCAAAAATTTAGGCACCAGCTCCGTAAAGGTCTTATGATTATGCATATTAAATGTCATGAATATGTAGCCATGCGTCCAGATATGTCTGGAAATAATCTGAGGGTAGTTTTCGGAGTCAACTGAACATGAAATGTTTGATAAAATGAGAAATAGATCATCATTTAATACAATTGTACTTCGATATGACCATTTTACTTAAAACCTCATTGTTTGAACAAAATCTGCTGACAAACAAAGGAGATATGAGAGGGGGAAATTTGGGTGAAAAAGTGAGTTTGGCGACGTGGGTGCTATGATGACCATTGAATATCCAAAACAATTTCAGTGTTATCAGCAAGTTAATTGCCTTGCACCACACCACCTGCGTAATCTCTGATTTTTTAATTTCTTATCTTTTTTTTATTTCAAAGGAGGCAGAAATGGCTGAAGCGACTATCCCTAGAGTTGAACTTCTTGATGATGATCAATCACAAGACTTGATTGATTCTGAGTGCAGCAAGAACACTAAAAATTCTGTGAAATTCTCTTGTTAGAATTTTCAAAGACTACAAGAAAATTATCAACACAGACCTCGATAGTGTAACCAACTGCCAAATTCGGAGCTGGACAAGGTACTCCAAAGTTCTACGCTGGTGCTAGACGGAAGAACGGTTCACTATACACCAAAAAGTCAATGTTATCTATTAGATACGGACTTCAGCGTTTTTTCCTCATTTCTAAAAATGTGGACATTGTTAAGCATGAAGACTTTACAAATTCGAAGACACTTTTCAAGCAATTTTTTTTGTTTAAAGGACACAGAGTTGGGAATCACAAACCAACTATCTCACAAGAAGACATGGACAAAATCCAAGGTTCGCTTGATTTGGATGATCCTCAAGGTCTTCAGGACAAGGTCTTTCTTGATGTTATGTTGTACTTTTGCAACCCTGGGAGGGTGAATTTGCGTGAAATGACACTCGACAGCTTTGACATTTGTGATGAAGGGGGAAAATGCTCCGTAACTCTGAAAGATACACTCACTAAAAACAACCGTGTAGGCCTAGATCTAGGTCTTGATAAACTAGAGAAAAGCCAAGTTGGTGTCATGACTCCAACAAATGGTCCACGATGTCCTGTTGCCTCCTTCTTACGCTACAAAGATAAATTGAACCCCCAATGTAAGTGGTTTTGGCAGAAACCGGCAAATGCACAGACCAAGCGTGAGTTCAAATTAAATCCATCTTCTGATCAACAATGGTACTGTAATGCACCCCTAGGGAAAAACACCATCGGAGACAAGATGAAAACAATTTCATCCCGTGCAGGTACCAAGGCTTACACTAACCTGTACCTAAGGGCAACCAGCATCAGTACCCTACAAAATGCAAGGTTCGAGATCATGAGTGTGTATGGACATCGCTCAGAAAGCAGTCTCGGGCACTATGCATTGACCAGCAGTGAAACAAAAGAGAACACAAGTTGTGCTATCGCGGCAGATGTTGATTCGAAATCAGTACCTTGTCATGGACATCCACTGGTGGCACTGTTAGTGAGCGTAGTGAAAGCCAGGAACTCTGAGAACTAAATGAAATAGTAAATGAGATCACAAATAACCCACAGATTTTCCTACAGTACGTACATGCAACATCACTGCAAGTCGCTATTCCCATGTTTCAAGCCAGCAAGCCGAAGCTCCTACATCAGGCCTGATAAAAACCCGATTTAAATCGGTTTCCCGATTTTTTTTATTTTTCCCGATTTTTTCCTGATTTTTTTCTTCTTCCCTCTTTTATCCTGATTTTACTGATTTCCTCGTTATTTTCTCTAATCTTCCCTATTTTGCTCTATTTTTTCCCCATTTTTTTTTTCTCGAAAGGGGGGGAATGTTGTTTAGATGCCATTTTTTCCCCGCGAATCCTCTTCTCTTTTTTTACTCAAGGGGGGCGGGGTTGAAGGGAAAACAAAAAACCTTTTTTTTTTTTTAGTGCTCACTATCACCCCTGCTACATTCATTAGAAGTACGGGTATGTGACAATGCTTAATGGTATTCAGAATCTCACTTCTTTACCAATACCATAATAGTTTACAAAATACACCAGTTTGTACATAATTTATTTATGTTTAATATCTGTGGTACTTACTGTCCAAGTATGAAGGGGGTGGTCGAAATCTTGAGAAAATATTTAGCGGCAAATAAGCGGGGGAGCACCCATTTTTAAAATTTATTTTTTGCCTAATTCCTGATATTTTTTTTCTTTTTCCAAATCGTGACTAAATATTAAGCGGCTAATCAGCCATCCAGTAAATAAATAAGGGGGGGGGGGGGGGGTAACAAGCACTACATTTTTAATTAATGGGTGGGGGGGGGGGGCATTTTCATTTCATGTTTAAAAAAGGTACAGTTAACGTTACCATTTTTATTTTGGGTAAGGGGAAGGGGCCCGATCCCATTAAATTTGAATTCACTTTATCGATTGAAATCAAAACATAAAGGAGTATTATCAATTTTCAATTGAGATTTAATATAATTAAAATATTATTGTTGAAAAGTTATTAAAATTACTGTGACAAAAGTGAAAAAAAACAAAAAAGGAATTCATTAATGTAGGATATGTTTATCAGTGGCAGATCCAGGATTATTAAAAGAAGAAAGGGGTGTAAATGTGCAACAGTTATCCATTTATGCCTCTTCCTCCCCCACCTGGCTCTGCCTCTATGTGTCTGTTCCTTGGCATTGTTCAGCCACTATTTTGATTGTTTTCTTGTAATCATCATTGTTGTACATTGTTGTACTCGTACACCTTTTCATTCTAGAGTTTACCTACCTGTAGGAGATGAAAGTAAAATGATTACTTTGTATCTTCCCCTGGAATATACACAGGGAGATACAATTGAAATTAAAGTATGGAATCAACAATTAGGCCCTAACCCTAAATGTTAGTAAAATGTTGTAAAGTTCTCTGATTCCGGTTGTATCTACCTCTTCTTGTGAGCTTACCTGTAAACTTATTGGCATTTAAATGGCTACTACAAGGTGTAAACACTGAACCCTTTATTAATTTGTAATACAAATTAATATGTTGTTAAATTGCGTTGTTAAAAAAAGAGACTTTTGATGATCTTGTTATAGTCAGCATGTCACACATAACACAGTATTGGTTAGAGGAGTGTGGCATGGGCATGGCAGGAGCACATATCAGTGATGTAATCGAGTTAGAATGGGAAACAGAATCTGGAAGGATAAAACCTGATACATGTATATAGTTAATAATGATTACGGATATTTTGTAAAATTTCCCAGATTCCAAATGTTTACATCTCCTGTAATCAATTACATGAGCCCCTGGTTTGCCATTCCACATCTTGCCTACTAAAAACTATCAATATGTTGCCAAATATTTAATCATTTATCAATATTTTTTTCATATTTATTATTTTTTAATTTTAATTTTGTACGCTTTACAATGAGTATTTACATAGAAATTATTATTACATTCATATTTCAATGTTAGCCAGTATTGAATAAGGTGCATTTTTATTTCAAAAGTTGGTATATGTTGAGGCATTTTGTCGGATGTTGAAAATATATGTTAAATTTGTTTTAACTATTTGACGCTTATCTACATGTAATAATTGGGGTATTGTGTTACTTTGGGATATAGATTATACATAAATCAAAGAGAGGAGAGAGAGAGAGAGAGAGAGAGAGAGAGACAGGGGTGGTTGAAATTAAGGGCGAGAGAATCAGATAATAGGAGAGAATTGCAAAAAAAAAGAAAACAAGAGAGAGCGAGAGTGTTTATAGGAGAAATTTAGGAAGAGAAAAGAGATCGAGAGCATGAGAGAGATATCGCAAAGAGAGAAAGAACCATTGCCCTGGGTGAACATAATTATCATGATCTTTATTTCACGATTATCTACATCTTTGTCATTCTTATATGACCAGTCATCATCATGATCATCCACATGTACATTTTATCATCATCATCATCATCATCATCTCGTCGTCGTTACCAACATAATTATCAGCTTTATCACCACTGCAAGCCACATTTCTTATAGCATTTATCGCAGGCTCATCATCACGATCCAATAATCTTTGCCATCATCACGATCAACCGCAGCTTCATTATCATTAATGATAATAATTTATGCTTAAGAGTATAGAATCTCATTAATTATTTTTTTCTTCGATATATTCACCTCGTTCTTCATTTAATAATCTGGGCCCCAAGGAAGAACATTTGTTTTTAAATATTGTTGAGTGGCCTCTGTGTGACACCGCCTATAGTTTAAGCAAATATTAAACGACTACGAGGGTAATACCTCTAGGCTATAGACCTAGATCTAACAGTTAGTAGTATTAATGACTGCTTTGAGAGAGTCGTTTTTATTTACAATCGAGCTATTGCCCGAGGCTTGCAGTCATGGTTTTAGCCATTCCCGTAAATAAACGAAAAATGCCAAACCCATGTGATAGTTCGAGGGTAAAATTCCAGTTACCGGGGAAAAGAGTTCAGTCTTGCTGAAATACCCATTGGTTCAGTGTTAAAAACTGGTTTGAGCGATCGCGGATACCATACATACGTGTGCGAAGAATTGGTCGCTTAATTTACCAATTTTTAATGCAGCGCAGACTAGACCACCGCGCGTGAATTCCAAACAAGGCAAAAATGGCTGAAGAAACTCTCCCAAGATTTCAACTTCTTGATGATGATAAAATGCAAGACTTGATTAATTCTGCTGACAGCCCGAACACCAAAAATTCTGTGAAATACTCCATGAAAATATTCGAAGACTTCCTGCAAGTTATCAACACAGACCTCGATAGCGTAAACAAACTTTCAAATTCGGAGCTGGACAATGTACTCCAAAAGTTTTATGCTGGTGCTAGACGGAAGAACGGATCTTATTACATGAAGAAGTCAATGTTAGCTATTAGATTCGGACTTCAGCGTCATTTCCTCAATTGTAACAAGGTAGATATCATCAAGCATGAAGATTTTTCCAACTCGACGAGAGTTTTTAAGTGTTTTTCAGCGATGCTTAAGGAAGGAAAGGGAGTTGTAACTCACAAACCAGCTATCTCAGCAGAAGACATGGACAAAATCCAAAGTTCGCTTGATTTGAATGATCCTGTGGGTCTTCAGGACAAGGTATTTATGGACGTAATGTTGTACTTTTGCAATCGGGGTAGAGAGAATTTGCGTGAAATGACACTCGACAGCTTTGACATTTGTGATGAAGGGGAAAAATGCTACATAACTCTGAAAGATACACTCACAAAAAACAACCGTGTAGGCCTAGATCTAGTTCTTGATAAACTAGAGAAAAGCCAAGGTGGTGTCATGATTCCAACTAATGGTCCACGATGTCCTGTTGCCTCCTTCTTACGCTACAAAGATAAATTGAACCCCCAATGTAAGTGGTTTTGGCGAGAGACCGGCAAATGCACAGACCAAGCGTGACTTGAAATTAAATCCATCTTCTGATCAACAATGGTACTGTAATGCACCCCTAGGGAAAAACAGCTTCGGAGACAAGATGAAAACAATTTCATCTCGTGCAGGTACCAAGGCTTACACCAACCATTGCCTAAGGGTAACCAGCATCAGTACCCTACAAAATGCTGGGTTCCGAGACAGAGAGATCATGAGTGTCCGGAAAAAAGGCGGAAAGCAGTCTCAAGCATTATGCTAGTATAACCAGCAGTACAGCAAAAGAAAACATGAGTCGGGCTATTGCGGCAGCTGTTGATCCAAAATCAGTACCATCGTCATCAAACATAAGTCATGGTATCGCGGCAGCTGTTGATCCAAAATCAGTACCATCGACATCGACATCTACTGGTGGTCAGCGTAGTGAAAGCCAGGAACTGCGGGAACTAAATGAAATTTTGAATGAGATGACAAATAACCCAGAGAACTTCCTACGCACATGCAACATCACTACAAGCAGTCAGCAGGTACAAGCTTTAACAACTGCACTGTAATTGTAAACATTTTTAACAAATAGGCTTGCAGTCCCTTGAGCGTATAAAAACAACTATTTCTATATTATACTAATACTATATTATCATCGCTGAGGTGATCGGGGGGGGGGGGGGGGGGGGGCTACTATCATCCCGAGCCGCAAGGCGAGGGATGATGGTAGCCCAGAGATCACTGAGGTGATGATAGTTTGTATCCATTACCCGAGTAAAGGAGGTTAATATTTGTTTTATATCCCACATCGGCAGTAAGGTCTATTTAAAGTGAATTTTACATAATTAAAAGAACTGATTCTGCAAACAGTTTAGCTTCAGCTAGATTTTACAAAGCGCAACATGCATACTATAGGCAGTGTCACACAGAAAAATCCCGACCCATCTTGAATAAACCAGATTTTAGAAATCTATTTTTTTCATTTATGTCGGTGACAACTGTGACAGACAGGCCACAAATAATCCGGATAACTAAAATCCGGATTCTTGATGGGCCATTGCGCACGCGCTGTTTAGGTAGATAAGCATTGTGACATCACAAAGTAACACTCATTAAATGCGCACTATTATAATTGTGCGCAGGTCATTGATAGCGCGTTGACTTTACACTGACCTTAAAGGGGATGATTTCAACATTGGTGTCAGACAGAAAAATTCCTCTAAAAAAACCCTTGAAAAATCCTTTCAAGAGAGAATTATCTTGCTTCATAATTTTATATGAGGATTTTTTTTTAAGGGATAATTGATGACAGACAGCATATTAAGAGGATAACTAAAATCCAGATAATTAAAATCCAGATTTTTGGCCTCTGTGTGACACCGCCTATTGTAACAAAGTCGATGCGCGCTCATTTGACATTGACATTGACATTTTGCGTATCCTAATTTTGCTACGCGTATTCAATCGCAAGTGGGGCAGCAGCAAAAAATTCCCTTACAAAAGTCCTATCGCAGGTAGATAGTACTTATCTATCTTTTATCATGTGACCTAGCTCGTTTAGCCCAATCAGATTGCAAGATTCTTAGTATGCGGGATATAATAAGAAATAACAGTGGTTGACCCAGTTCCATCCTAAGTTTTTCTTGAAGATGATATGCCTATGGAGGCAAATCTAAAATTGAGAAGGGTTGATTCTGGGCAAAGTTTATGGGTTTTATAAATCATCAAGTTTAGAGACACACTGTGCGGGGTCAAAAGAAAGCATTAATATGCACCCAGAAAGAGGAATATATAGCAACATATTTAGTTGGAACTAAAATTATTCAAGATATTGCACGTATGTGAGGATGATGGCTGTACTCATATTTACTGTGTAGCACAAGAAGGTTATGGCCATAGATTCATTTTCTTTGACAACGGTGAACAAATAAATGAGTACTGAATAAAGCAAAAGGAAAGGAAAGGAAAGGAAGGAAAAGAAAGAAAATGAGACGAAAGAAAAGGTGTCGGGCCCTAGGCCGTCCGATCCGAATCTTTGATATCGATATCGCTAGAGTCAGCTAGCCAGAAATTTGAATCTGGGCTAACTCGCCCCACGGAAGGTTACAATCGAGCTATTGCCTTCAGCAAGCCTTGGGCAATAGCTCGATTTTAACCTCCCCTTGAGCGTATAAAAACAATATGTCTCTCAAAGCAGTCATTAATACTATATTATCTTTTCCTTCCAAGAAGTCTCCAAGTGTGACTGCTTCTTCAAGTGACAAGGCAACCCATCTACAAACAATGCAGCAGAACACCAGTGTCACTTCAAAATCAAATACAGGTGTCAACGAAGGTATGAATCTCCTTTTTTTTTATCTTGAAATCTATACATTTATTGTCAATTGGTCATTGATTGGGATGAAATTGTGTTTTTCTTGTGCATTTAGTAGTGGGCTTAGAGTCGAAGACACAATCAACAATCATTTTCTCTGCTGATGGCATTGTTAAGCATTTTTTAAACCATTCTGTATCATATTAAACATTAGAATTGCTAGAAGACTGTATAGTTTGTTGGAATAGTATGAATTGGGATTCAAGGGCTGCCCTCAATTTCTAACTATTTGCAATTTCAGGCAATTACCATTTTACAGGCATGTCTATGCTTACCCAATTACAATAACATTCATGTGCTAATGGGTACCCTGTTAGACATGTGTGCACCTGGGTGGGTGTGAGAAGTGATACAAATAATGTAAGTAATGTAACGGCCCTCCATCTTAGAATGGGTCCTGGATGCTGGAGGGCTGGCCTGTCCCTTGCGTCTATCAGCGTCATCTTGACGAAGAGTTTGCCATCCTGACTGATGCGAGCGGTTTCTATTTGGCTTGTAGTTTAGAGGCCTGGACGTGGCTCCATTTTCCCAAAGTATATATTTAGGAGATGAGGGTGTTTTGGATAGTTGGACATGTATTCTCTATGAGATGGTTATATTAAGTCAGTCTATGGGGACTCAACAAATTACACGTTATGAAACCATGGATTGTTTAACTGTATGTGATTTCCATACTTTAATAACAAAGAAACATAAGTCAACTTCTCAAACACTTTATCATAATTAACACCGACACCGATTACCTGAAATAATCACTGGAGTAGTAAAACTCAGGGATTTCCTTTTGTAGGAACTCTCTTTCTCACTTCCAATCCTTTTCCTTATTTTAGCTCGGTTGGATCAAGTGGAGCGGACAGTTCCCTATCTGACCACGACGAGAGCCAGCGTCGAAGTGACGAAATCACCATAAAACATCGCTATTTATAGTCTCCGAGAGCTGCTTTACGCATGGTGCGTCCGTAATCGCGCTCTGAGCTCTTACGCCACAAAAGCTTACTACGCCCTCTACGTTTTCTGCAAGATAACTAATTGTGGCGAACTGGTTCGTTACAGTACTGTAGCTGATGCATGTGCCTGGTTCAAAAATGTCAAAGTTCAAATAATGAAAAGTAAACAAATTCTTTCATTTTGTAAACATTTCAATGGTAGGTACGATGACGGACCTGACTTGGATTGAATTACTGAGAAAGCTAGTACAATCCAAGGATGCCTCCACTCAGTGGGAGAAGCAGCCACCTACTCACTCCACTCAGGCTGCTTCTACCTCTTCTACACAAGATCTTGATAAACCATCATGTGGTGATGACGGTGAATTGGAACAGGATGGTCTTGGTTGGTCTTCGCAGGACACCCCTGCAGGGCAAGAGGATGAGTTCATGGATTCCAGTGAACCTTCTGATTTGTACGTATTTTAGGAGTCGGTTTAATATCAATTGAACTAAGATATCAAACGTGAATGGTTGCAAAGTTAACCACAGACTCACTATTGTAAATCTCTGTGTATAAGACGCACTTTTTTGCCGCAACAAAAAAAAATTGAAAGTCGGGGTCGCGTCTTATACACATTACAAAACAAAAAAAATAAGGTCGATTTATGCCCCTCCACCTGGCACTCAATGGTGTCTAGAAGGTCTAGAAGGTAAAACGGATCTCCTTGCATAATTTGGATACTAGGACACTGCTTATGTTTACATTTCACACTTATTCACAGATAGGACATACATGACATATTCATAATCCCTCCAAAATTCTACAGAATTTGATGTTGGCTGCAAAAGGGACATAGTATCTTTAACATGGGATATGTTTTTGTAATTTTACTGTTTAGACTGCAGTGGCGGATCCAGGGGGGGGGGGGCCGGGGGGCCCGGCCCCCCCCCCTTGAGAAAAAAATCATGTAAAATCACGTGATTTTTACCTTTTGGGGGGTTGGGCCCCCCCACCCTGGCGCTCAAGGGGGGGGGGGTGCAAATTGAAATTTTTTTGAGGATCCAAAAAAAAGAAAAAACTGCTCACTACCCCCCCCCCCCCCCCCCCCCCCCCCCCCCCCCCCCCCCCCCCCCCCCCCCCCCCCCCCCCACCACTGAGCGAATTTTTGGCCGGCGCGTTTTTCAAATTTTCGGGAGCAAAAAAAAAAAAGTTGGGCCCCCTCCCCTAAGAAATCCTGGATCCGCGCCTGTTAGACTGGATGCCAATATTGTGTCGCCAAGGTAACATTTGTTTTGTGGATAGCCCCCCCCCCCCCTGATAATAGGTACCCTTTTCCGCAAAAATGCCTTAAAATTGGGTACAGGTTTGGTGGCTTCCGAACGGCACAGCCCAGTCAGAACGGCAAATCTGCCAATGCCCCGCCCCCCTCAGCAATCTCTTTGATAAAAAGCTTATTTTAATTGCTCATTCATCCCTGTGATCATTCCCAGATCATTTATTTGATGAAAGGTTAGTTTGTTACGGGTAATTCTGCGTAATAATAATTCCTCCAATTTTCTTCTATTACAACAGCGTACCACAAGGTTCTATCCTAGGTCCTCTACTGTTTTTAATTTACATGAAGATCTTACACATTCTTCTAAAAATGACATTGTTACCATTAGTTGTGACAAGTTCACAAGCACAAATCGGCGCCTTCAACTGCACCTCACAGTTAAATGAAGGTCCTTCCACACATGGTTTTTTTTTTCTCCTTGGCCCCAAAATAGGGGTGCGTCTCATACATAGGTGCGTGTTATACAAAGAGATTTACGGTAGTGAGTCTGTGGATAACTTTGCAACCATTCAGGTTTGATATCTTAGTTCAATTGATAATACACTGAGATTTACGGTACATAATCTTGAACAGTATTAGTTTCATTCTTTTTACCAAGACTTGAAACATAAACATTAAAAGATTGTACACGTTGACACAAGATTTGATGGGTACATATAAGAAATGTGCTAGAATTGCATGTAATATTTGAGGTATCTTACAAGCTTCTACTTCTTTATTTTCTTTGCAGACATATTGATTTGTCAACCATTGTAGCAGGGTATAGAGGCTTTGAGGAGGAAACCACTGTGGCTGAATCTCAGGTATTAGTTTGTACTGCTGAAAGATACATTGTAATGCACAATATGCGGGTAAACCGATGAAATGTATGAAAATTTATATTAATTCAATTAAATATCATATTGAGCACTCATTACTTTACTTTATTGCAAAATAAGCTGTCTAGAAATAAAAACCTGAATGGTTGGTTGTATCGGGAACAAGCATGAATTAAAATCATTTTCGAATCAAAATTTACTTTATCTTGATGAATATCACAAACAATTTACATGAATAAAAAATGGACAGATATGGGTACAGGGACTACGAAAATACTATATGTGGCATCAGAATGTGGTCCAAGTTGTCAACTATTTCTAGTCATATTTGAAATGGGGGATCATTTCAAGGGTCGCCTTTTTCATAGGATATAATTTCTAAGAATTTCTACTGAAATAGTATGAAAAGAATTAAAAAAGAAAGAAATATCACAGCAATGCACAGCAGTGGGAGCCTTTTTATGCCGCTACAAAGTAGCCGGAGGCATTTTGTTTCGGGTTTCCGTCCGTCCCTCCTTCCGTACGTCCCGTTCTCGTGATCGCATTATCTCAAGAACCGATTGATTGTTTCCGCCAAACTTAAATCATGTATGTATCTTAAACTGCCAATGAACTGATTAGATTTTGGGGTCACAAGGTCAAAGGTCAAGGGACTCGGGGCTTATTATGTATGCAAAAATGGCTTGTGATCGCATCTTAAGAACCAATTAAAGGATTACAGCCAAACTCAGGTCATGTATGTATCTTGCAGAGCCCATGAGCTGATTAGATTTGGGGTCACGAGTTGGAAGGTCAAAGGCACATGGCTGATTTTATATGCAAAAATAGCTGTGATCGCATTATCTCAGGAACCGATTGATGGATTCCTACCAAACTGGGTCATGTATGTATCTTGCAGAGCCAATGAACTGATTAGATTTTGGGGTCACAAGATCAAAGATCACGGGCTCATGTACCAAATAGCTTGCGATCGCATTATCATGAGAACCAATATACAGATTACTATCAAACTCAAGACATAATTAGGTTTTAGGGTCATCAGGTCAAAGGTCATGGGGCTCATTAAGGATGCCCATAATTAGCTTGTGCATGCATTATCATTAAAACCGACAGATGGATTACAATCAAACTTGAATTTAAACATTGTTTCTGTTTGGTTTGTACAATTGCTCTATGGCGGAGGCATCAATTTCGACTGCCCGCAGTCGAAGTTCCATCTAGTTTTAAAATTAGACCAATCTGTTAACTTTGTACCATTTAGGAAGGAGAACAAAACAACTCACCCATCCTGAGAAGAATCAAGGAAGAGATGATTGACGAGTTTGAAGAAGAAGATTACCAGACCCTATATGTGAAGGAAGAATACTTGGAAGATGAATGTCAAGATGATGATTATGCACATGTGCATTTGACACCAGGTAAAGCCTCTCATAAACACATGGTTGTACAATACATGCTCCTGCCGAACGTTCTCACACAAACTGAATGTCTGGCTAGACCCTAGAACCAGCACCATACAGAACAATAACTCTGAAAAACCTTACCTAAAAACTTGCTAAAATCATGAATCTGACCCTACACCTGTGAGGCTGCGATGGATTAATGCCTGGAGCAAATGTTGAATTACTGACGTTGTAAACTGCCTTAAGAAAGATGCCATGGCAAAGTAAAGCCAATTAAGTTGTAAATCAATAGCAGGGGGTTGTATCAAGAATAGCTGCTCTCTTCAGAGGCCCCTAAAAAGTGTACCGTAATTAAAAAAGCCAGGTCCATGTTAAAAACCCAAGCGGGAAGGCCTTTCATTTAACTGCGAGGTGCAGCTGAATGTGTAAGATCATTAATGTAAATTTAAAAAACAGTAGAGGACCTAGGATAGAACCTTGTGGAACGCCGTGTTATAGAAGAAAAATTGGAGGAATTATTATTATAAACTACATATTGAGATCTATCAGAAAGATTTACTTTCAAACCAAGATGACAGACAAATTTGAGTGTTGTTCTAGTTTCCGAGTGGTGAGTCAACACACCGATTACTGAGCTGGGAGACATTGTCAGGCATAGCGCCAGGTGGAGGGGCATAAATCGAAACTAAAAAAAAAAAAAAAAAAATTCGGCGACAAAAAAAGTGCGGTTTATACACCGTTAATTACGGTACCTATCGGTACTTGTTTAATAGCTGTGTGGTATATGATACATTAATCTGAAATGCAACTATGTTTTTTTATTTTACCAAAGCAGTTTTATGCGGCAGTTTACCATGTTATACTTGATGTGAATGATACTAAATGGAACCACCACAGTTGAGTCATGAACTCATCACAGCAATAATGATGTTAGTTGTAGTTTCTTTTCTTATAAATGTACACGGTGTGTATATATTTTTTCATGACAATTTATCCCTGTTGTTGTGTGCAGTGCACAATCTCCACTTTATTTCCATTTCTTTAAAATGTAAATAAGTGATATTTTATTTCTCTTCCTTTCAGATAGTTACTTCAGATAGTTCAGTTATTAAGCACTCGCAGACAATCTCCACTTTTTTTCCATTCGTTTTAGAGGTAAATAATTGATATTTTATTTCTCTATCTTTTCAGGTGGACATCCAAGATTGGAGGCTGAAAGTCCAAGATCAACCCAGCAAACCAACAGCGACAGAGCTCCAAGGCAAAGGTGGACCATGTATCGGATCAAAAGTAAATATTCAAATGTTGGAAAATTATGTTCTACATGTAATTTTTTCTTAAGGATGTTCTGCAGTAACGTTCGTGCTCACCTTAGCTGCGCATGTATTTACAGGAACTCCAGGCATTGTGCATGGTGAATACGTAGTGGTCTAAGTCATGTCTGCTATGTGGTCAGATGACGAATGTGTCATCGACATATTAGAGCCAGAGAAATGCTTGGAGTTATTGATGTGGTGCTGCGATTGTCCTACGAGTGGTTGGAGAATCGAGGTCAGGTGTTTGGCTGTGTCATAGCAAGGAGATCCTTGGGTTGAAATGATGGGGCGAAGTGGAATGGTAGGTTTGTGTATCTTTGGCTGGCCAAACAGGATGGGGCAGGTAGCTGAAGATGAGCGAAGTTTGAAGTAGAGTGGCTTGGATATGACTGTTCTGTGAAGAGAGAGGAGTCGCTTGTTGAGTTTCCTTTCCGTTGCTAGTGTGGGATCTTTCTTTAGTTGTTTGTAAGTCTCGAGGAGAGTGCACCGATCTTATTGTTGGAGTCCCCTTTGTTCAGAACTACTGTAGCGTCGCCCTTGTCTGCCTGTAGAATGTGTATTGACGGGTTGCTGCGTAGATCTTTGATAGCGGCTCGTTCTGGTTTGCTAATGTTGGGTTGTGGTGGCTTAGCTGTGGATAGGGCTTGGGTGACTTGGAAACGGATTTGGTTTCCGTGAGTGGACGGTGTCCTTGGTGCGGGTTGGTGTAGTCTAGTTGGTTGATTTCTGGCTGTTAGCTAGAAGTTTGTTGAATTTGACAATCTGCTTCTGTCGGGTTGACTGGAAAGTTTTTCCAGCTGTAGAGGTGTTGAAGGCCTGGCATTTCCAAAGATCAGCCGGTTAGCGAGAGCAACATATTTTTGTAGCACACAAAAACAAAGTCATACAATATTATTATTTATTAGTCTGACTAGCGAATTAACCAAATTTGACTTACCTCGGTAAATATGGCTTTGTTTTCGTGTGATATCGATATGATATCAATATCAATAGTTGAAGTTCCCGGATGACTGGGCAATAGGAAAATAATATTGGTCGGTCATCCGGGTACTGCACTAAAGATATTGAATATACTGATCTATTGTACCACTTGGAAGCCTTATATAGATAATAATCGTGAATATCGTCTGCAAGCAGTATCATACAGTGCCGCCTCGAGCTCATGCCTCTGTGTGCGTGTTCATGCCAGGCCTGGCTCGTTTACGTAATTTTGTATCAATTACGCATGCGCGAGTCTGTGAGATGGCCGTGTAAGTCGCGTTTCTCGTAGAATAGCTGCTTTCAATTTCTGTAAAACACCCCATTCATTTCCATTGTTCAAAAGTAAGTCATGAGCACAGTTAGGCACCAGCTCCGTGCAGGTCTCATGACTATGCATATTAAATGTCATGAATATGTAGCCATGCGTCCAGATATGTCTGGAAATAATCTGAGGGTAGTTTTCGGAGTCAACTGAACATGAAATGTTTGATAAAATGAGAAATAGATCATCATTTAATACAATTGTACTTCGATATGACCATTTTACTTAAAACCTCATTGTTTGAACAAAATCCGCTGACAAACAAAGGAGATGAGATGATGAGAGGGGAAATTGGGTGAAAAAGTGAGTTTGGCGACGTGGGTGCTATGATGACCATTGAATATCCAAAACAATTTCAGTGTTATCAGCAAGTTAATTGCCTTGCACCACACCTCCTGCGTAATCTCTGATTTTTTTAATTTCTTATCTTTTTTTTATTTCCAAAGGAGGCAGAAATGGCTGAAGCGACTATCCCTAGAGTTGAACTTCTTGATGATGATCAATCACAAGACTTGATTGATTCTGAGTGCAGCAAGAACACTAAAATTCTGTGAAATTCTCTGTTAGAATTTTCAAAGACTACCTGAAAATTATCAACACAGACCTCGATAGTGTAAACCAACTGCCAAATTCGGAGCTGGACAAGGTACTCCAAAGGTTCTACGCTGGTGCTAGACGGAAGAACGGTTCACTATACACCAAAAAGTCAATGTTATCTATTAGATACGGACTTCAGCGTTTTTTCCTCATTTCTAAAAATGTGGACATTGTTAAGCATGAAGACTTTACAAATTCGAAGACACTTTTCAAGCAATTTTTTTTGTTTAAAGGACACAGAGTTGGGAATCACAAACCAACTATCTCACAAGAAGACATGGACAAAATCCAAGGTTCGCTTGATTTGGATGATCCTCAAGGTCTTCAGGACAAGGTCTTTCTTGATGTTATGTTGTACTTTTGCAACCCTGGGAGGGTGAATTTGCGTGAAATGACACTCGACAGCTTTGACATTTGTGATGAAGGGGGAAAATGCTCCGTAACTCTGAAAGATACACTCACTAAAAACAACCGTGTAGGCCTAGATCTAGGTCTTGATAAACTAGAGAGAAGCCAAGGTGGTGTCATGACTCCAACAAATGGTCCACGATGTCCTGTTGCCTCCTTCTTACGCTACAAAGATAAATTGAACCCCAATGTAAGTGGTTTTGGCAGAAACCGGCAAATGCACAGACCAAGCGTGAGTTGAAATTAAATCCATCTTCTGATCAACAATGGTACTGTAATGCACCCCTAGGGAAAAACACCATCGGAGACAAGATGAAAACAATTTCATCCCGTGCAGGTACCAAGGCTTACACTAACCTTTACCTAAGGGCAACCAGCATCAGTACCCTACAAAATGCAAGGTTCTGAGATAGGGAGATCATGAGTGTGTATGGACATCGCTCAGAAAGCAGTCTCGGGCACTATGCATTGACCAGCAGTGAAACAAAAGAGAACGCAAGTTGTGCTATCGCGGCAGATGTTGATTCGAAATCAGTACCTTGTCATGGACATCCACTGGTGGCACTGTTAGTGAGCGTAGTGAAAGCCAGGAACTCTGAGAACTAAATGAAATAGTAAATGAGATCACAAATAACCCACAGATCTTCCTACAGTATGTACATGCAACATCACTGCAAGTCGCTATTCCCATGTTTCAAGCCAGCAAGCCGAAGCTCCTACATCAGGCCTGATAAAAACCCGATTTAAATCGGTTTCCCGATTTTTTTTATTTTTCCCGATTTTTTCCTGATTTTTTTCTTCTTCCCTCTTTTATCCTGATTTTACTGATTTCCTCGTTATTTTCTCTAATCTTCCCTATTTTGCTCTATTTTTTCCCCATTTTTTTTTCTCGAAAGGGGGGGAATGTTGTTAGATGCCATTTTTTCCCCGCGAATCCTCTTCTCTTTTTTTACTCAAGGGGGGCGTGGTTGAAGGGAAACAAAAAACCTTTTTTTTTTTTAGTGCTCACTATCACCCCTGCTACATTCAATAGAAGTACGGGTATGTGACAATGCTTAATGGTATTCAGAATCTCACTTCTTTACCAATACCATATTAGTTTACAAAATACACCAGTTTGTACATAATTTATTTATGTTTAATATCTGTGGTACTTACTGTCCAAGTATGAAGGGGGTGGTCGAAATCTTGAGAAAATATTTAGCGGCAAATAAGCGGGGGAACACCCATTTTTGTCTCGCCTGCGTAGCAAAAAGCGAGACATAGGCGCCGTTTTCCGGTGTGGCGGCGCGGCGACGGCGACGGTGTCAACATCAAAAACTAACCTAAGGTTAAGTTTTTGAATTTTTGATATGATTTTTAAAGTATAAGTTCTTAGTCAATGAAACTTTGACTTTAGGGTAATCAAGTATCCCCCATATGTGAGTAGAATTTCAGATCACAAAGTCAAGGTCAAAGGTCATTTCAGGTCAACAGACTTGGACTATGTTGTAGCATCATCATTGAAAACTTAACCTAAGGTTAAGTTTTTGAATTTTTGATATTTTTAAAAGTATAAGTTCTTAGTCAATGAAACTTGGACTATAGGGTTATCAAGTCTCCCCAATCATGTGAGTAGAATTTCAGGTCACTAAGTTTAGGTCAAAGGTCATTTAAGGTCAACAAACTTTGACTTTGTGGCATCAACACAAGATTTTCAAAATGCTTCTTCTTCGTTATTTTTCAACTGATTTTGATTCTGATTGTTTCATATGATAGGGCTAGGAGGGGGATTTAAAATTTCTACACAGAATCGTGAAATTCATTATCTATGCTAATTTATGCAATTTATTCGAAATCACAAAAAGGCTTCTTCTCCTTCATTTCTCGACCGATTTTGATTTGTTTGCTTTATATCGTAGAGCTAACTTTGGTACACTAAACTTCTACACAGAATTTTGAAATTGTTCACCATTAATTAATTATGGTAATTTATGCAAATTATTCCAAAAATAACAAAAATTGCTTCTTTTCCCTCATTTCTTGACCGATTTTGATTTGGTTTGCCTTATCTGGTAGAGCTAAATTTTGAACACAAAACTTCTACACAGAATTGTGAGATTTTGTTTCATTGATTATTTATGGTACTTTATTGCAAATGAAATGAAATTATGTCCCTTCCAGGGCATCAAATTTTTATTTTTTGACCAGTTCAAAAGTGTACCACATAAAATGTACGATATATGTTGTTGGGAGATGCGGATGAGTGCTACGTCATTGACATTCTGGTTTATCATATTGAATTGCGTTATGCAGGCGAGACTGCCGAGGGGGGGGGGGGGGGGGTAACAAGCACTACATTTTTAATTAATGGGTGGGGGGGGGGGCATTTTCATTTCATGTTTAAAAAAGGTACAGTTAACGTTACCATTTTTTTTTGGCCAAGGGGAAGGGGCCCGATCCCATTAAATTTGAATTCATTTATCGATTGAAATCAAACATAAAGGAGTATAATCAATTTTCAATTGAGATTTAATATAATTAAAATATTATTGTTGAAAAGTTATTAAAATTACTGTGACAAAAGTGAAAAAAACAAAAAAGGAATTCATTAATGTAGGATATGTTTATCAGTGGCAGATCCAGGATTATTAAAAAAAAAGGGGTGTAAATGTGCAACAGTTATCCATTTATGCCTCTTCCTCCCCCACCTGGCTCTGCCTCTATGTGTCTGTTCCTTGGCATTGTTCAGCCACTATTTTGATTGTTTTCTTGTAATCATCATTGTTGTACATTGTTGTACTCGTACACCTTTTCATTCTACCTACCTGTAGGAGATGAAAGTGAAATGATTACTTTGTATCTTCCCCTGGAATATACACAGGGAGATACAATTGAAATTAAAGTATGGAATCAGCAATTAGGCCCTAACCCTAAATGTTAGTAAAATGTTGTAAAGTTCTCTGATTCCGGTTGTATCTACCTCTTCTTGTGAGCTTACCTGTAAACATATTGGCATTTAAATGGTTACTACAAGCTGTTAAAACTGAACCTTTATTCATTTGAAATACAAATTAATATGTTGTTAAAATTGCTTTGTTTATCTGTTCTTCATATTTTCTTCCATTGTACCTTGACCATATTATTAGGTGCATTGATGCATTATGAATAATTCATTAATATTATCAAAGCTTAGAATATCTAGTTTTAGAAAATTTACATATTTTTACATATGAATGATAGTAGCCCCAAAGTAAATAGTGCTATTTCTGTCGCCGAAGAATCCATAATTTCACTAGCGGCTTGAAAAAGTGCATGATATATTTGTTTATATTTTTCAAACCAACCTTCATAAAAATAATAATAATATTAATATGTTTACTGTCACTAAAGTAGTGTTGAGTGCAGTGAGAGCAGCACAGACAACAGTACCGCAACCGATATCACATTGATCTTGATCGATCACATTATATGACGTCATCCTGATCAATGGTATAGTGCCATGGTATAGTGCACTATACCATGGATGACGTCACAGTTACATCATAGCAATGTTATGTTTGGTCACATGATGCTATGTTGACCAATCACTGAACAGGATTTCATTGATCAAAAATATAAAAGTTATTATTACAGTCATATTTCCATGTTAGCCAGTATTAAATAAGGTACTATGATGTATATGATTTCAAATTAGGTATATGTTGAGGCATTTTGTTGGATGTTGAAAATATATGTTAAATTTGTATTTGTGGCTTGTATGGATCAAATAATCGTGGTATTGTGTTACTTTGGGATATAGATGAATAAAAGGAAGAAAGTGAGAGAGAGAGAGAGAGAGAGAGAGAAAGAGAAAGAGAGAGAGAGAGAGAGAGAAAAAAGTGTGGTAGAAATTAAGGACGAGAGAATCAGAGAATGGGAGAGAGATTGCAAAACATAAAGGAAACGAGAGCAAGAGAGAGATTATAGGAGAAATTCAAAAAGAGAAGAGAGAGCATATAGGAGAGATATCACAAAAAGAGAAAGATAGATTCAAATTAGAGAGAGAGAGGAAGGTGATAGGTATAGATGAAGGAATGATGAGAGAACATAGATATCGTGGGATAGAGAGAAAGAAAGATTGAGTGAGAGAGAGAGAGAGAGAGAGAATGAAAGATTGAGTGAGAGAGAAAGAACAATTGCCCTGAGTGAACATATAATTATCATGATCTTTATTTTACATGATTATCTACATCTTTGTCATTTTAATTATGACCAGTCATCATCACTCTCAATCATTGATCATCCACATACATTCTATCATCATCACCATCATCATCATCGTCGTTACCAACATAACTTATCAGCTTTATCACCACTGCATTTAAGCCACATTTCTTTTAGCATTTATCGCAGGCACGATCAAACAATCTTTGCCATTTTTGTTTTTGTTTGGTCCCAAAAATTTCGCAACAACTCAGCCGGGGGGGGGGGGGGGGGGGGGGAGGTCCTACGAAGCACACACATGAAAACAGTTCGGGGGGTAAGGGGGCGGGGTTCCCCCCCCCACCCCCCCCCCCCCCCCCCCCCCCCCCCCCCCCCCCCCCCCCCCCCCCCCCCCCCCCCCCCCCCCCCCCCCCCCCCCTGCGTACGAGCCTGACCACCACCATCGTCATCATCTCCTTCATTTTGTGATCTATAAACCACACCATACCAGCGCAAATATTCATATATTCAAATATGAATATGCAGCGCTAGGATGGCGGGTTAGGTTTGAAAATGACGCGGCCCGTCGGCTTCTTCGTATTTATGTAGTAGCCTTCTTTGTGTTATCCTTCTCGGCCATATCGGCGATCGAAGCTAGCTGAGCACAAAAAAAAAAAAAAAAAACAAGCTCGAATCTTTGATATCGATATCGCCATTCAGCTGGCGTCGCGTGTTGAGCATATATGCATAGACCTAGAATCTAGGCTAGATCTATGGCAGCAGAAAATATTGTGACTATTTTTATTAAACTTGAGATTTTAGAACTCGTTCGTTTCGATGCCCGGCCCCTGCACTTCAAAAGCAGTTGTTTGTGATGCTGCAAATCATTATCAAGGCCATATTTTCATTCCCCACTTGTGAATGTGACTAGTAGTACTAGTAGGAGCTGCATTGCATGCTGCAGGAGGCTTTCTGCAGACGATCGTGTTTCTCTGGTCCGGTGGTGCCGGGGGAAGTGGTGTATCGGAAACGGGTCTTATCTAGCTGGACGTGGACTCTCCTTTCCATCTAAAAAGTGCGCTTCTTCTGTTCTAGCTAAGTATGAGTCGGTATGACCTCATGAAATGATCTTCCGAAGTTCTTTCTCTGTCTACGTCTGATATTGATAAAAATAGTACAAACTATGATACTAGACAGCCAAAATAGACTTCATCATTATCACTCTGGATCTGGTGTCTATCTGCTAAGTCAAGTGCTCTAGAAGGATCTAGACTCTATGCAACTTGCAAGATTCCACAACTCAAGATTGACGTTAAAATATAGATTCTAAATAGCCTAGGGATCTAGATCTAGGCTAAGTTGATTGTTGATAGACTAGTCTGAATGACAATGATGGTATCTCTTTGGTTAGGACTAGTCTAGGGAGTAGGGTCTAGAACTTGATTAACATGATTAACTAGATCTAGACTAGGCCTACTCCAGAGTCTACAGCTAGAGTAAACAAAATGGCGATATCCATTGATTCACTTAAACTTGATTCGCTTGAAGTTAAAGAGGAACTAGTAGATGAAGATTATATCAACCACCAAGTTTCAGTATTGATGTCTGATGAAGAATTAACTCCAGGGAGCTCTGCCGCAGGAGGAGTTAATGAAGAATGTGAAGAAGAGGATGACAAGTTGCAAGGCTGGATCAATGGTCCTAGCAACAATTATAATGCCAAAAGGCATACAAAATATGCACTGTCTTTATTTGAGATATTTAGCAAACGGGAGAATGTAAACTTTGAAGACATTGACAACAAAGCTTTGGATGTTCTTCTTTCAAATTTCTACAAAGCTGCGCGGAACAAGAAGGGAGACTTGTATGCATTAAAGTCTATGCAAAGCATTCGATTTGGCCTGCAACGTTACTTTTTGGAATCGCGTGGCATTGACATTATCAGGTCAGATGAATTTTCTTTGTCTCACAAAACCTTTGGGGCAGTGAGTCGTAAGCTTAAAAGGTTTGGTAAAGATAAAGTGAGGCATCATCCCCAAATCACAGTAGACGACATGGCACGCATGCAGGCAAGTTTGGATTTGAGCATTCCCCAAGGCTTACAGCATAAAGTATTTCTGGATACTGTGCTGTACTTTGGCAGGAGTGGCATGAGGAATCTACGTACTACAAGACCAGGAGACTTTGTTTTGCATCAGGAGAATAATCAACTTTTCTACACATTTCGAGAGAATCGGGAAGCACAAATGTGTGCCATGCCTGGCAATCCTCGATGCCCTGTCGCAAACCTGAAAAGGTACATTTCAAAGCTCAATTCCAATTGTGAGTGGATGTGGCAGAGGCCAAGGCAGCGTTTCTCAGACTCAGAGGATCCCTGCATTTGGTACGAGAATTCACCCCTTGGAAAAGACAATCTATCCTTTATGACGAGGACAATAAGTGAATTGGCTGGTTGCAATAAAGGATATACCATCCAATCACTGAGGAAAAGCATGACAGAGAAAATGTTGGAGTCGTTGTCAAGAAACGACAGCACCAGTCAAAACAGAGATTATGCCATCACAGTGATCGCACTCCCGCGTTCAACATCTAACAGCGTTGTTACTCGGATCAACAAAATGATTACTGCCAGTCCCAGAGTACCTGTTGCTGCCCCTATTACAGACTCCTCCATGAACATCATTGAGGTGAGAAGTGGGAAGTGATGATTCGTCAACATGTTCAGTAAAAAGTACTTGTTATTAATTTACCTTTAAAGGTACTATGTCCCTTTTGCAGCCAACCTCAAATTCTGTAGAATTTTGCAGGAATTATGAAATATTCAAATTATGCAAGGAAACCCGTTTACTTGCTAGACTTCACTGTCAGACACTATTGAGTGACTGACTGGCTTTTTTCTTCTTTGGTAATAACATGAAAAGAGTTGTAAAGGGTAAATGAGCATTTGTCTACATCAATAACCCATTTCTTGTGATGGCCAAGATTAAACTGATTGAATCTTTGGGCAGCATAAAACGTATGACCATTCAGTACAATTGTCTGAAAATCAAGACTATTACTTTTGGGCTCTATAGCCCTAAAGTCGATTTGACAACTAATAGTCGTTATTTTCCCACTTGAAGACATTTTCAAGCCCCACCTTTTTTAGGGAAGTTCTAAATTAGTATTATCTTTCAAATGCAGTTGGAATTTAATTTTTTCATTTTTTGGGCCTGCAAATGGGACATTGTACCTTTAATTCAATTTTAAGGCACCTTACATCAAAGGGTGACAAAAGGCAGTAATGGTGCACAAATGATAATTAAAAATAAATAAGTCAAAAGGCATGAAAAACAACCAGTTCTGGCAAAGAATTTCTGTATAAGAAATAAATTTGTTACACCAAACTTGCATATTTATAACCGTTAAGTATGAGCCATTGTTTTGATAGATTGAAACAGATCATTTTCATTCCAAGTTATCTCAAGTTTCATTTTTTGGGGTGGTAGATTTTTATTGATTTTCTTTTATTTTACATTGTGTGTACAAGCTTCTATTATCCTCTCCTTCCAAGAACCCTTCAAGTGTGACTGCTTCTTCAAGTGACAAGGCAACCAATCTACAAACAATGCAGCAGAACACCAGTGTTACTTCAAAATCAAATACAGGTGTCAATGAAGGTATGAATCTCCTTTCTTTTTTATCTTGAAATCTATACATTTATTGTCAATTGGTCATTGATTTGGATGAAATTGTGTTTTTCTTGGTGTATCTACAGTAGGTGGTCTAAGAGACCCAATCAATGATCATTTCTCTACAGTTACATTTTCCATGCTTATTGCATCAGTAAGCACTAAGCATATTTTTAATCATTCCGTAATATATTAAAGGCCCACTGCACTACTGGTAGTTACTTGCGCCCTCTATATAACAAACAATGCCTAATCGGTGACCATTGGTCCCCCATGATCCTCTTTTTCTTATGTTAACTGAGAGCTGAGTTGATGAGATAACCACCTGTCCAGTGACCTTGCAGAGGGGTCTAATCCCTCCTGTAAACTACGGCAGATAAGCTTTAAATGCTGAAATCGTTAGAAGATTGTATAGTTTGTTGGAATTAGTATGAATTGGGGTTCAAGGGCTGCCCTCAATTTTCTAACTATTTGCAGTTTCAGGCAATTACCCTTTTACAGGCATAACATTCATGTGCTAATGGGTACCCTGTTACACATGTGTGCACCTGGTTTTGAGAAGTGATAAAAATACTGTAAGTAACTGTATAAGCTGATGCACCATGTGCCTGGTACATGTAATGCTGAAAGGTAAACAAAATGTTTCATGTTTGTAAACATTTAAATGGTAGGTACGATGACAGAGCTGACTTGGATTGAATTACCGAGAAAGCTAGTACAATCCAAGGATGCCTCCACTCAGTGGGAGAAGCAGCCACCTACTCACTCCACTCACTCCACTTCTACGCAAGATCTTTATAAACCAGAATGTGGTGATGACGGTGAATTGAAACAGGATGGTCTTGGTTGGTGCTCAGAGGATGAGTTCATGGATTCCAGTGAACCTTCTGATGTGTACGTATTATAGGAGTCGGTTTAATATCAATTGTACTAAGATATCAAACGTGAATGGTTGCATAGTTATCTACAGACTCATTATATAATCTTGAACAGTTTTAGTTTCATTTGTTTTACCAAGACACCAAATGTAAACATTAAAAGGTACCTGTTTGACACAAGATTTGATGGGTGCATATAAGAAATGAGCTAGAATTGCATGTAATCCTTGAGGTATCTTACAAGCTTCTAATTGTTTATTTTCTTTGCAGACATATTGATGGGTCAAGCATTGTAGCATGGTCTAGAGGCGATGTGGAGGAAACCACTGTGGCTCAATCTCAGGTAAGTTTGTACTGCTGAAAAGTTTCTTGTAATGCATAATATGCTGGTAAACTAGTGAAATATATGAAATTAATAATAATAATATTAATAGCCTAATAGTCCACTCCAAATTTTATTAAACCGAAACAGAAATTCTTTTTGCCCAATTGATCGTGAGCCCGGCAGCCACTGAGCAGCACCAGATCGACATTGCTCTATCTATCCCTTTATGTTGAACGCCAAACAAGGTAGCAACAACTCCCATCTTTTAACGTCTTTTGGTATGACGCGGCCGGGGTTCGAACCCATGAACTTCTGACTGAGCCAACACTCCGGTCTTCAATTAAAGATAATATTGAAGACTCATTATTTCACTTTATTGCAAAACAAACTCTAGAAATAAAAACCTGAACGGTTGATTGTATTGGGAACAGGCATGAATTAAAATCATTTTGGAATAAAAATTTACCTCATCTTGCTAAATATCACAAACAATTTAAAACATTGGACAGATATGGGTACAGGGAACTACAAAAATACTTTATGTGGCATCAGAATGTGGTCCAAGTTGTCAACTATTTCTAGTCATATTTGAAATGGGGGTCATTTCCAAGGGTCGTCTTTTTCAAAGGATAATATTTCTAAGAATTTCTACTACAATAGTATGAACAGAATGAAAAAAGAAAGCAATGTCACAGCAATGCACAGCAGTGGGAGCCTTTTTTCAAAGTAGACTAATCTGTTAACTTTGTACCTTTCAGGAAAGAGAACAAAGCAACACGCCCATCCTGAGAAGAATCAAGGAAGAGATGATTGAAGAAATTGAAGAAGGAGATTACCAGACCCTATATGTAAAGGAAGAATACTTGGAAGATGAATGTCAAGATGATGATTATGCACATGTGCATTTGACATCAGGTAAAGCCTCTCATTAACAAAATCGACCAGGCTGCGCCAAAGTATTCTTCAAACTTGTTAAACCTTAAAACTTGAAACTTGAAAGTGAGAAAATGAATTTATTGAATGTATCAAATGAAATGCATTGCATATGCTTTTTGCAAAAGCAAAGTCACACACACACACAAGCACAAATGTTCTTTGATATTTGATATGTGTGGCATGATTAATTTTGTTAGGGATGTTATTTGGATCTGCAAAGACCGAATTATTACCCAAATCCCAATCGCTTATTCTAACATCACTAAAGCATAGTTGGCGCAAGTCAATTTTTGCACTCTCACAAACAGTGCCTCCTGTTCATCTAAGCATGAACACATACCACACAAAAATGATACTAAATGGATAAAACACTCTTTCATAAGATATAATATATTACTGTTCATAGATGATTTTTTTTCAAATAATTAGCAACTTTCTATGTGTTAACTTTTTTGACTCGCACTGAATATATTCTTTTAATGACAATTTATCCCTGTTGTTGGATTCAGCTATTATTTAGCACTTGCAGTGCACAATCTCCACTTTATTTCCATTCCTTTTAGAGGTAAATAAGTGATATTTTATTTCTCTTTCCTTTCAAATAGTTACTTCAGATAGTTCAGTTATGACACACTCGCAGTGCACAATCTCCACTTTATTTCCATTCCTTTTAGAGGTAAATAAGTGATATTTTATTTCTCTTTCCTTTCAAATAGTTACTTCAGATAGTTCAGTTATTACACACTCGCAGTGCACAATCTCCACTTTATTTCCATTCCTTTTAGAGGTAAATAAGTGATATTTTATTTCTCTTTCCTTTCAAATAGTTACTTCAGATAGTTCAGTTATTACACACTCGCAGTGCACAATCTCCACTTTATTTCCATTCCTTTTAGAGGTAAATAAGTGATATTTTATTTCTCTATCTTTTCAGGTGGACATCCAAGATTGGAGGCTGAAAGTCCAAGATCAACCCAGCAAACCAACAGCTACAGAGCTCCAAGGCAAAATGGTGGACCATGTATTCGATCAAAAGTAAATATTCAAATGTTCGAAAATTGTGTTTTAAATTTTCCATAGACACTACTGCAGAACGTCCGTAAAAGTTAAACATAAGGTTGAGTTCTGGTAATGGTGCCCTTTTGCAGCTAAAGTGCACACGGACACTACTGTAGAACGTCCGTAAAAGCTAAACATAAGGTTGAGTTCTGGTAATGGTGCCCTTTTGCAGCTAAAGTGCACACGGACACTACTGTAGAACGTCCGTAAAAGCTGAACATAAGATTGAGTTCTGGTAATGGTGCCCTTTTGCAGCTAGAGTGCACACGAACACTACTGTAGAACGTCCGTAAAAGCTAAACATAAGGTTGAGTTCTGGTAATGGTGCCCTTTTGTAGCTAAAGTGCACACGGACACTACTGTAGAACGTCCGTAAAAGCTAAACATAAGGTTGAGTTCAGATAAAGGTGCCCTTTTGCAGCTAAAGTGCACACGGACACTACTGTAGAACGTCCGTAAAAGCTAAACATAAGGTCGAGTTCTGGTAATGGTGCCCTTTACAGCTAAAGTGCACATGGAGACTACTGCAGAACGTCCATAAAAGTTAAACATAAGGTTGAGTTCTGGTAATGGTGCTCTTTTGCAGCTAAAGTGCACACGGACACTACTGTAGAACGTCCGTAAAAGCTAAACATAAGGTCGAGTTCAGATAAAGGTGCCCTTTTGCAGCTAAAGTGCACACGGACACTACTGTAGAACGTCCGTAAAAGCTAAACATAAGGTTGAGTTCTGGTAATGGTGCCCTTTTGCAGCTAAAGTGCACACGGACACTACTGTAGAACGTCCGTAAAAGCTAAACATAAGGTTGAGTTCTGGTAATGGTGCCCTTTTGCTGCTAAAGTGCACATGAACACTACTGTAGAACGTTCGTAAAAGTTGAACATAAGGTCGAGTTCTGGTAATGGTGCCCTTTTGCAGCTAAAGTGCACATGGAGACTACTGCAGAACGTCCATAAAAGTTAAACATAAGGTTGAGTTCTGGTAATGGTCACAGGGCTCATTATGTATTCAAAAATAGCTCGTGATTGCATTATCCCAAGAACCTATTGATGGATTACCGCCAAACTTGGGTCATGTTCGTATCCTTGTTTATCTCCAAAGGAGGCAATAATGCTTACTGCTCAAACATCGCAAATTTGATCTTAAAATGTGTGTGAAACAGGAACTTGAAAATATGTCGGCCCAAAAATTGTGCAAAACGTCAAGGGGCGGGGGTCTGATATAGCCCTCTCCCCACCTGGGCTATTTAGCGTGAAAAGCGTTAATGAATGCAAAATTGTGATTTCATTGTGTAATATCTTAAGCCTATGAACAAACTCAGGGAATAATTTTACATCCTCAAACTTGATAGGTTATTTAAGCCGATAGATCAATGTTTCAAATTAAATTGTTTCCACTTCTATGGAAGAAAATTGCTACACACCTGATATTTTGTATAGCAGTCATATAAAAAATTCATAGCAAATTGCTATGCAATACCAGGAAAATTAGTCCCTGCAAACTTAACACCAGTTTCCTTTGTCTTTTTGCTTACTGTGCATACAGATACACATTTATCATTGGTTTGTAACAAAACACAATTGTCAACTAGATTTTTAATCTCAATTCTAAAGACAGCATACAAGATGGATCAAATAGCATGCCCAGCACCCCAGTGCGAGACATCCTGGCCAGCTAGAACACCACCGGAGGTACTGGTTACCTTGATTCAACTACATGCCCGCACTGCCCATCCAGAGCCATCAACCTCTGCTCCGGTAGTCAACAGAGAAGTTGAAACACCTTCTACTAAACCTACAACCGAAGCTGGAATAGAGTGAGTTCTTTTTATTTCATTTCAATCTCAATGAGAAATATATTATAAGTGCACAAAATGTTGATCAGCAGTACTATTACCTGGTCAGTTCAGTTCAGTTTTTATTCTTCTCAAATCAATTATAAAAAATATAACAATTGCAATGGTGTTTACAATGTAAAAACTTATTGGTACAGTGTATTTACATAATTGATAAAAGAAAAAAGGGAAATTACACAAAAAAAATTAGAGAACTTTTAGACATACTGTAGATCCCTAGGACATGTTATATAAAGCTTTAAGCTTTCTTTATTTAATTACTATTTCCCAAATGTTGTCAACAAATATTGATCAAAGTTAAGTATTCAACTACAGAGTGAGTCAGAAAAAAATATCTACACTTCCCAATAAACAGAACACTAAAAAATAACCTCTTTTGGGAGTGTATTTTAAGTGATTTTAAAGTATGGTGCCTTTTGAACTAAATTTAAATGTTATCGACACGTGCCTTCATTAAAAAAAGAAATGTATTCCTCTTCACGTTTTCATCTCACCTAAAAGCCACCAATTTATCACGCGACTGGAGTAATGTGATTCCACTTACCTCTGTAAATCAAGAGTTTATGACCAAATAACCACTGGACCAAGCAACGAGTTTTCTATCAGTTAACTGATGGTTGTGAAAAATGGGCAATTCTTTGGTCTTTTAAGCACCTTTATTGATTGGTTTCACAGGTTGTCCAAGGTTAATGGTAATAATCACGTTACTTACACCGGCTAATCCTTTTATTGTTCTGTCCGTGAATGTCTGGTTTAAAAAAAAATAGTAATTCTGAGGTATCTTACACACCTTTTTTAAATGGTTTCAAACTTACCATAACTTTCTTGGTGATGATCACATGGATCAAACTGATTTTCAATCTAAGCTGGGCATCCATGATTTTTAGGTGTAAAAAAATAAGTAATTCTTAGGTTTCCTAAAATACCTTGTTAATGGTTTCAAAGTTACCATACGTTCTGTGGTGATGATCTCGTGACTCCAACTGATTAATACCCAATAAACAAATTCACATGAAAATCACGTCAATATCAAGGTATCGACTTGAACATATTTGCGTTATTTAAACACCTGACATTTACGTGATTGTGTTAACACGTTTCTTGCACTAGGTCACTTAAAAACATGTACACTAAATCATGCAATTGTCACTGGAATATCACCATTATAATAACGTGATTACCCCTACCTTGGAGACCATGGTTTGTAAACCTAATACTCCTGTTACTTTTTTGGTTATGAAATTACATCTTCAGAAACGAAATGATCATATTCTTTGGAAGTTTTAGAATTGCGTCACAGAAACACGTGAAGCGTTGGTGATAGTTTTAGTCAAAATATCTGCGTGAAATTCACGTGAATATGAAGAGGCTGACTTGGGACTTGATTATTAATCAGTTTGAGTCACGAGATCATCACCACGGAATGTATGGTAACTTTGACTACCATTAACAAGGTGTTTTAAGACACCCAAGAATTACTTATTTTTCACACCTAAAAATCATGGATGAACAGCTTAGATCATTAATCAGTTTGAGTGACGAGATCATCACCACGGAACTTATGGTAACTTTGAAACCATTCTAAAAAGGTGTTTTAAGACACCAAAGAATTACTTATTTTTCACACCTAAACATCACGGCTTGGTGATTCTTAGGTGTCTTAAAACACCTTGTTAATGGTAGTCAAAGTTACCATACGTTCCGTGGTGATGATCTCGTGACTCAAACTGATTAATAATCTAAGCTGTTTATCTGTGATATTTAGGTGTGAAAAATTAATAATTCTTAGATATCTTTAAACACCTTTTTAAATGGTAATAAAAGTTTCTATAAGCTTAGTGGTAATGATCTCGTGACTCCAACTGATTAATAATTTAAACTGCATCCGTAAATTTTAGGTGTGAAAAATTAGTAATTCTTAGGTGTTTTGAAACACCCTTTATAATTGTAGTCACAGTTTCCATACGTTCCGTGGTGATGATCACGTGAATCAAACTGATTAATACTCTAAGCGGTGCATCCATGATTTTTTAGGTGTGACAAATGAGTTATTCTGAGGTGTCTTAGACGCGTTTTTAAAATGCTTTCAAACTTTAGCCGGCAACAACGCCTTCTGCATTCTTCTTCTAGCTCGCTAAGCCCACCACTCAAAGCACAGGAATCGCATACCAGTAAGTAGATTACAGAAATATGAACTTCTTTACCATTGTGCCTTAAAGTAGAAACATAAAATGTGTGTATTTGAAGTTTAAACGTTATATATGTACTTTTGATATTTCCATTAATTTACTTAAAAAATAGACTATTTTAACGATTTTGGGGGGGGGCCATTCATATTTTCTGATGAGTGCCTATCTATTATTTCATTTTGTCCATAAATAAAGAAAATATTATTGAAAGTTTTGGTTTAGGATGTTTCCCAAAACCTAAACCTTAAGGCATTCTTTTATTAACATGATACAGTGTGAGCTGCACCAATTTTACAAGAATCTTCTCACCAAACATATTAATTGATAGGTAGGCATCATTTTTAGTTTCAGTATAGTGTGCATATTGTGCAAAAATGAAACATCCGGCCTATGTGATACTGGACATAATTTATTTTGATACCAACAAGTGCATTCACTCCTGTTTTAATACATGTAATTAAATACCTGTTACCCTGGATTGGTGACGATTACCTTAGAAACTCGCAATGTTGCTTATCAGACTATTGACATTAATTATCTGACTGTACCGTATATGCACAGGAAATTAGTGGTTTGTAAAGAGTTCTGGACATATCCACAGTAAAGAGTACCTTTAGAAAAATCGATCTAACTTTAAATCTTTACAGAATAGTTCAGCCTAAATCTGACAAATTCTTTAAATTTGTGTTGGAGAGATAGTCTAAGCAAAATATTTGTACCAAAGTGTGCATTATATTATACTTTCTGCTTTCCAGTGAAGGTATGGAACGCTTGGACAGACCACCTTGGCGGTAACAATTTAAGTTAGATCATTTTTTCTAAATGTACCCCTTTACTGTGAAAATGCCCCTATGGCCTATGCAACAGTCTCAGGTTAGAATATCTTGTACAGGAAACTTGACCTACAACCATTGGACATAGACATAACCCCAAATTCTAATCACAACCTCCATTTTAAACTTGTTTGACAGCTTTTGACTGATGTAAATGTATAATTCTTGATAAATTGTATTTATTTTGTTTTAATTCATTATTTATCATCTTGAGGCCCTGTAGGCCGCTTTGAAAAGAGTGGCGTACATGTAGGTGGCAATTTGGCAGCTTCTGCCATTAAGGAGTGTTAATGAAATACACACACACACACAAAAAAACCCTCAAAATTGTTGTTTATTATGATCAGGGAACAATTTTTCTCAAATTTTTTGATTAGCAATTTCAGCCGATGGATGAATATTTTAAATGAAATTCTGTACATTTCTATGGAAGAAAACTGCTACACAAAAGATATTTTGTATAGCAGTCATGCAAAAATGCATAGCAAATTGCGATGCGATACCAGGAAAATTATTCCCTGGACTTGGGTTATTTTTAAAAATATATTTACAGGCCTTAAATTTTAATATTTTTAGGGCAAGGCCACTTTTCTATAGGGCACTTTCCTATATTACAGCACAAATAGGAAGAATTTGAAAGGGCACAAAAAATATCCAAGGCCAATGAGAGGGGCATTGAGGCCAATCAAAGGGGCATCCATGGCCATGGCCTTGGTGGTCTTGGATTAATTTAAGCCCTGTATTTATATATATTATTATTATTATTATTTTATTTTTTTCGGGGGGGGGGGGGGGCTTAGAATGCTGTCTATCTATCCGTCTGCATAAGTATTTATTATCAATCACTTGCTATAACGTTGAGGTAGGATCATCAAGTTAATACCATAGGTGCGCATCTCTTGAAGGCATAGGTCAAGGTCAATGTGGGATTAATTTGTCACATTAAAAAAAAACTTATTATCTTTTGGGGTGTGTGATGGATAAATGTTTTTCCATTAAAGTCACTTATATTGTCTCAGTGACATACCAATTTGATAGCATCGTTTGAACAAGTCTCTGTGTGTTTTGCCCACAGTTGAATGGCAGACGATCTTAAAAAATCAGGAGCGAATGTTGGTAATATTGGAAAGCTTTCAAAATAAGAAGATGACCTCTTCAATTGATGCTGAAGAAGAAATAAGTGATATTTTAGAACAGAGATGTCCTACAATTGAGGACCTGCTTACCTTTGACCACTGTCTGACGGGTCATCCAGAAACAGAGTCTAACAAATCCCTCTACAAGAGAAGACAGGAGATGTTGGTAGGTATTCAGTATACATTTATATAATATTGACTGGCCTTGAGGGGTATATCAGAAATATTGACCAAGCTCAGATCATATTGCCCCGAGTCAAAAGACGAGGGCAATATGGTCTTAGCGCGGTCAATATTTCTGATATCCCCCCGAAAGTAAAGCCAGTCAATATTTCTATTGTTATCCAAATCAGACATCTAGAGCAAATACAGACCTCCACCATGACAATCTCAAGAACTGAACAAACTTTGTCAAACCAGCACTGTGCATCCAGTGCTTGACACAATTTCGATACACTGCAAACAGTGTGCATTTGGTGTGATTATTACGTCACAATAGAGTGCGCGCAAAGTGCGCAGGTTCTCGTACGCATAATAGATGCGCAATGAAAATGACAAAATCCGGCGCAGTCAATACAAGATGCCCGGATATGCGAGACCGTGGAAAATACCAAGGTATATTTTCACTCGTCTCTACACGCAAAGTCAATACGCGCAGGGAGACCAAGGAAAATACAAAGAATATAGGGCAATACGGTTTTGTAAATGACCAGCTCAGATGTCTGATACGGGTAATAATCTGTATTATTGCACGCCAATTCACATCAAACTAACTCAAGGGTTATTGATTTGTAATCCAACTG